TGGTACGTTTTCCTGGCAGTGGAAAGGATGAGAGCAACCAATGCCCTGATCATTACCACTTTGTTCCTACAGCCCCACGTGAGTCTTAGTTTCATAGACATGTTCATAGACCTCTTGCAGATGCCTTGTCACTTCTCTGCTGTTGCTCTCGTGATATACCTGAAACGCGCAGTCAAGGCATTTCTTTCCATTGGTGATAAATGATTTTATTCTTTGCCCTTGCAGACTCCTATTCCCATATGAAACTGAAAGTTGGTAGGATTAGTCAGTTAAAATTGCAGCATCATATGATACCTCACCATCATAAAATCAAGCTTTGTAGGATCAGTGATTTTAAAGAATGTAAGAACATACACTGTGCCCTGCTGGATCAGAACCCAGGCCCACCAGCTATACAAGAAAACCACTAGTCTCCCAGTAGACGGCCTTCAGATGTAGTCACACTGCCATTAAAGCTATTTTACTTGAGTTTGGAGAAAAGATATGCATAATCTTGCATTTGGCCTCTTATCTCCAATGTGTTAATCACTTAATATCTCATCTCAGAGATTGCCAAAGGACAATCCATAGCAAACTTCATGGTTGGAGAATTGGCAGTGAACAGGCGTGAGTGAACGGGGTCTCTGGGACCCTGCCTCTAAATATGTTTACTTTTGCTCCAACCACTTTGAGAAGAATTGCTTTGATCTAGTGGGCACCCAGTAGGCAATTAAAATACTTGAAAAACATGAAAGAGCATGCAGAATTAAAGTAGACAGTTTGCAGTAGGACAGTAATGTACATCAATATAGAACAGTGGTTCCCAAACTTGGCAACCTTAAGACTTGTGGAGAGCTGGCTGGAGAATTCTGGGAGTTGAAGTCCACAAGTCTTAAAGTTGCCAAGTTTGGGAACCACTGATATAGACAATATCCTTTCTATGGAGAGGAATAGTCCTTCCAGAATATCTGTTCCATCTGATTTCATGCATTTTAAAAATACTATGAATATGAGAAACAACTCATTCACAAACCTTTTTTAAAAAAAATAAAAGACTGGAGGGCGTAGCCGTCCCCAGGGCTTTCCCTTACTGCCCGAAGAAAAGACAGAGTGGGAGATTCACTGAGTATTAACCTCATCAACTTTCTGAAAACAGGTACAGCATGCTATGACCATTCTAAAGATGTCCACACAGTCAAATGATTACCTTGAGATGCATTTTAAAGCTGAAAAGTTAACAGTCTCACTCAAGCCAAGTTCAGCCTCTGGTGATTTTTGTAGGCACCTCAGTGTAATTTTCTTGGAAGCTGTTTGAAAGTGGTTTACTATTGTCCTTTGTAGGATTTGTTTTTATTTCTCCCACCTAATCTACAATGCTGGTGTTGTTCCATAATTCCCTATCATAAGTGCTTATGATCTCTTGCTCACACATTCACAACCCTGGTTAACTACACGCCAAGTGAATTTAAAGTGACAGCAAATATTATTTTTATTCCATCTTTATTATTTTTATAAATAATTCAAGGTAGAAAACATACCTATACCTTCCTGCTCCGATTTTCTTCACAATAGTAGAGTGAGATGGGTTGGGCTGAGTGACTGATCCAAATCACTGAGCCTGCTTTCGCACCAAAAACAGAACTAGAACTCACTTGTTTCTTTCTTGCACACACTCACATTCTCAATCACTTACCCATGTCCTTAACTGTGATCTGCCAGGCACTAGCTAGAGGGGCAGAAGTTGCCAAGTCTGCTTCCAAAGGTGACTCAAAGAGATAGTGGGATTCAGGGCCTAAAAGTCCTTGCTTTATTGATTCACCAGATTGGCAGCAATTCTTGTCTTTCACATCTGGTTGCTGTTAATAGGATTTGAGAAACTTCCCATGTTGTCAGGCCCCAAGTTATGTTATGTTTTGTTTAGGTGACATGTTTTTCTTTATTTCTTTAAGGATTTGGCTCTTCCTTATCTATCTTCCAAAGGATTTTTTTAAACAAGATCCATGGCTTTTCGTCTGTTTGTTTCTATGCCTGCTTTATCTTTAGGTATGACAGCCAGTGTCACATTAGCACTAACCAGACTTACTCCTGCTGAGCTCCCAGACCCAGTTTTAAAAAATCACTAGTGCTGAAAGCCCAGAAACCAGTTTATAAAGATGACCAGATTTCAGTTTAATATATTTTTTCCAGAGATGAAGAGATTAGCACATCAATCTCAGTTAAATTCTGAAAATTTAGAATGTGATTTCCTGACAGAAATCAAGAGGATTTTTCTTTCTCAACGTGTCAGATTCTTAGGGTGAAAAGCTACAGACTTGTATATAACACTAAAACAGAACTCTTCTCTTGCCCTCCCCACCCAAAAACAACAACAAAACCCTGGTAAATCAATTTGAAAAAGTGTGAGTGAAATCTTAAAAGGATCTTGGCTAGTTATACTAGATAATATTGCCAAAACAGATCATATGTTTAACTTGATCTTAACTTGACATTATTTCAGTACAGGATTTCTGGGGTATAGGTACCAAACAGAATTAGGAAAGGAAAGGATCAAATATATGTGGCCAAAATTAATTACTTTATTTAACACGTCTGTACATAGAAAAAGCTGGACAAATAATACTCAAAATAGAATGTAATTAGCCAATTCTAAAGCTATCAGAAGATCTGCCTTCTCCTCCAGCAATCCACAGTACAAATACTAGGGTTTCTGAGCCGGTAAAAACTTTAATATGTGGGGGGTTGTTTCTTCTGTAGTGGCTATCATCCTCCCAAGGAAGGCACTCTTCCTATATTCGAGCCTCATGCAAAGCCACTGGAAATCTAAAGCAAACACTTCCAAACTTGCAAAGTATCAACAGAAGCAGAGATGAGTCCCACTCTTCTGACCTCCTTTCTCTGTAATCCTGTGCATATTTATTTAGAAGTAGGCCACAGTACATTTAGTATATCATTTAGCTTACTTCTTGATAAAGAGTAAAAGAGTTCCAATTGTTCATAACAAAAAAAAATAAAAAAAGCTTGATAAAATTATGTCAATCCTTTATGTTTTAAGTAAGAGCTTTTCTATGTGCTCCTCAGATGTTTTGGATTCACATTCTGTTTTATAATTAGAAAGGTACTTGCATGCAAGAATCTCTTTCTGGATCAAGGGAGTGATCTCCAGCTCTAAGTAAAATCATTTTAATATAATTTTATTAAGGACTTTGATTACAATAGTAATAAGTAAAATAATTTCTGTGGCTTAACGTACAGGTAGTCCTCAAGTTTCAACCACAATTGAGTTGCTAAGGTAAACATTTGTTAAACGAGTTTGTCTCATTTTATGACTTTTCTTTTATAGCCACAGTACAGCCATGCAGTGTAATCATTAAGTGGGTTACACCTGATTTTATTACCTTTTAGCATTAGTTGTTAAGTTAATCTAATTTCTCCCTTGATTTTTCTTGTTAGTCATGTGACTCTGGAACACTGCAAAAATCATTAAAAAATGTGCCAGTTTTCAAATACCTAAAATTTAATTGTGTGAATATTACAGTTGTGTGAAAACCAGTCATATATCAATTTTTTCATCATGTCATAACCTTGAATGAGCTTTAAAAAAATGGTCATAAGTTGAAGACATAATTTCCAGTGACTCTGTAAAGTTCTGTCCCTTTGGATGATAAACTAGATAATGTAACATTTTGACTGTCATTTATATTTTTATATTTATATTTTCATTTATATAAACATCAAGATGTATTTCTGTTAGCTGAATTTAGGTGTGTGTGTGTGTGTGTGTTTGTGTGATTGCTCTGCTAAGGATATAAAGATTAATTGGAAGTGTAATGGTTGCAAACTAAACTGTAAATTACCCATACTAATTTTCCAATATGCACAACACACTTAAATGAGTTACTGTATTTTTGCACAATTCATTAAATGCAGAATAACAAATAGGTACAATTCACATAACATACCAAGACAAACAAAATTAAGATGTCTTCAAATGTGGCTACTAGATATCATTATGTACTAAGGACAAGTGACAAAACGTGTCTCATTATGTCAGAATACAAGATAAATGCTAATTGGTTACCTGAATCATGCACCAGGTGTCTAATCCTGAATTTGCATCATGACACTGCTTTATACATGACTTCAACTTTCTAATAACCGCACTAACTGAATGCAGATGAAGTCACCTGGTTCCATGTGTTATGGGGAAAACACAAATGTTCAAATTAAAATTGTTCGAATTAATATTGCTTTTAAAAATGGCAATTCTTGAGAGCATTAAAGTCTTTCAAACTACTTGTGTGGGGTGAGGCGGTGGGAGGAACATGGACATTTAAAAAAATATATGAAAGAATGATTTGCGGGGGGGGGGGGGGGATGATGCCGAGTGAAAACAGACCACAAGAGGGTAGCAGAGCCCAAGATATGGGCGCCTGGATTGAGTAATGTGATGGAAGTCCTTTCAGCAAAGTAAGAGCTCAAAGATTGATTAACTTATCCGGGCGACTCCATTTCAGGACCTTTTAAAGGAAAAGCTTTTTAAAATACATCTGGTCCGGTCTATTTCTTTTTTAACGGGCCCCAGTACTTCAATTACATCTAGCACCAGTTTGGCAACATTTTCCATAACTCGCTTAACCTGAAAGCCAGTGGTAGCAACTCTCCGACCTTGCATAATGTCATAAAGCTAGGACATTTCTTTCCTAAGAAAATGGCGAGGTTGTGGCGACGAAATCGTGCTCGATTTAAAGGTTTATTTTGCACAGGAAGTTGGAATATAGCAATAGCAGTAGACTTATATACCGCTTCATAGGGCTTTCTTCCAATAGGTTCCCCCCCCCCCAACTCCTACTGTATCTTGAGCCTAGAGTCTGGAGAGTTTAACTATCCTTGCCAGCTCATCTGCAAATTTCATAAGTCCCCTTCTATCCCCTCGTGTAAATATGGATGAAGACATTGAAGAGCACTGCGCCTAAGACAGCCTTTTCGGTTGCGTAAGTCGGTCGGACAGACCAACACCCATAACCACAGCTAGCTGTATTTTCACTTTTACTTTCCCTCTCCGCACTGGGGTAGTTAGAAGCAGCGGCGACAAGTTCCTCCTCGGGTCCCCATTCCTTTGCTCCGAATTCTCCAGGCAAGCGGCAAGCGGAGGACAGCGGTAAGCAAGGGAATGGACGGGGAAGCGAGGGAGCTGCCTTTCTTTTCCCTTCCTGGATCCGGTTCCCCCGGGTTTAAAGGTATCTTGACTGTTGCAAACCCGTTGGGCAAGAGCGATGCTCTGCTGCCACTCTCCAATCGCCGGCGCCTTGGCTTGCAGAAAGCGCTGCGCCCTCGTTCACTGGATGCTTACCTGCGCTTGCACGCGCGCGTACACACACACACACACACACACACCGCCACACATACACACAATCACCACCACCCCTTCCATCCTAGACAAAGAAGACAGCACGGAAAGCACAGCCAGAGAGGGCGGGGGTGGAGGTGGGGGGGGGGCAAAAGTGTCAGTCGTAGCTTTTCAGGTTCCAAAGTCCTCCTCGGGGTGACATCATGGCCACAGTTAGTCTACAACAGGCCGGAAAAGGAGGGACTGAGGAGGAGGAGAAAGAAGCTGAGAGAGAAGCAGGGTTGGGTGGTCTTTCTCTTTTCCTCTGCTACCCTCTTAGAGAGGGATGAAAGCTGATGGACATGGTTCCTTGGGAGTTCTAAGGCCCCAGTTTCTACAGTACAGCTATATTGATCATTTCTCCCATGCTATTCTGAAGGATTTTATGATGTGTTCCCCAATTACTCTAGATGTTTTATTAGTCAATATTAGAAGTTAATTAGTCTAACTTCTTCAATATGAAAAATGGTCTGTTTTGCATTATAAAAAAACGGGCCTCGAAAAATGAAGGTTTGGCATCCTGTCACAGGAAAAGCTTTTTTTTCTTATGGAGTACAGAAAAAAAGAAATAAAAGCTCTTGCCTCATCTTGTTGGAAGGAATGTCCTTCTGGGTTCAGTCCCAAGTGGGGAAAAAGACACTGGAAACATGGAGGCTGCTTAGAAAGATGGTTTAATGATGAACAGGATCACATGGCTTGAACTCCTGGACAGAAAAGGGATCACATGCTTCCAGATGTTTGGGTGAAGAAGAAATAAGACAGATGTAGAAAATTCCTGGTTTTATGTCCACTCTGGCCTATGATCTTGATTTTGTATTTTGATTGGTTGTTAGACTCCCATGGGGCCAAGCAGGATCAGCTCTTTAGGCTGTGCTTTAATTCCAAGTTTAGTTGCCTTGCTGACTAATGTAATTTTCCAGGTGCCTTGTAGTGAGTTTCTGTGGAAGGCTAATCCTACCTTTGTTATGTAGACTAGCCTAGGTCAGGCTTTTTAATGAGCCGTTGACAAAGGTAGGGGCTATTAAGAGTGAGTATATTTCCTGCCTAAAAAGATTTTTCTCCATTTCTTATCCGGGGAAATATAATATTCTGCCTTTTCAATATTTCCCAGGATATTTCATTTTTCTAGGAGAGGAGTGGGTTTTAACTTCCTACAATCTTTTTCCATTGTGTTAGCAGATGTGTGAATAACAGATATTGTGTTATTCTTCAGCTAAAAGGATCCCATCCTCTTCCATTCATTCGTCTCCACTTCTGAGATATTGCTTGGAAAAATTTATGTAAGATTTTTGGGCAAAGTTTTTCAGAAGTGGTTCGCCATTGCTTCCTTCGTAGAGCTGAGATAAAGTGACCGGCCAAGGTTATTCATAGATTCCCAGTTTCTAACGTCAATCCTTAATACACCAAATTGGCTCTGAAAAGAGATTTTAGACATTTACAAAATCAGTTATCATCCTTCCCCATAGAAATAAATTAGGAAACTGATTACACACACACACACACACACACACACACACACACACACACACACAAACACATTGAGAAGCACTGAATTACAAGAGAAAATGGTCTTT